TAGACAGGGCCTTAGCCCTTTTTGAATGTCACTGGTCAGAAGCATAATTTTCTTAATATCCATCATGACATGGCATTTCCCGTCATGTTAACTCTTTATGTTAAAATGAGATGGGGGCCCTGTAGTTCAGTTTCTCTTCTGAGTTTTCATTTGCTTTCAAAACAAATGTAATGACCATGTTTTCTGCCTGTACGCAGATTTTTCCACACACAAAAACAGATTTACTGTATTTAGAGTCAGCACTAGTTAACATGACTCGCCAAGATGAATATATTTGCAGTGCTGCCTCCTCTGTGTGATCACGATGTTTTTCATCTGAACAACAGCTCTTTCCAGAGAAAACAATACACTCACAGCGAGAATATAAACATGTAAGTACAGTAACTACAGAGGCATTTTCAACAGTACTGTCTTGCAAGTTTCCCATTTATATTAGTTCTAAAATTTTAAGTCACAGCTTCATTTTTCTCTGCTTTTAAAGATTTCAAAAGTTCTGCTGAGGTTCCTACTCCATCACCATATGATTTGTCAAAGTTACTTAACTTTCACTAAAGTTTAGCTTCTTCTCTTAAGAAACAGACGGCGCTTTGCAGTGACAGAGTTTATTTTAATGATGATCCTTTAGAGGGAGACTAGCTTAAATGAGATTCCACTGCACTGCTTTCTGCAGTCTTAACTGTCATAAGTCAGGATGTGCTGAACAAAACATAATGAAAACTCAAAGCAGTCTAGGAGTTACAGTTTTTATTTATTTATGTATTTATTTATGTATGGCTCTTGATCGGTCTTTTTCTCATGTTACTTCAAGCCGGTTGTTCGTCAACTAAAATTGTATGACCATCTATTTATTTGGTTTATGGTTTGAATAAGGGGCAAGAAAAATAAGATTTTTCAACTCCTTGCTCCTTTTCAGTCAGGGTATGTAAATAGAATTGTGTTTTGGTTGTGAATTGCTTTTCCCCCCCTTATCCTGGAGTTGTGTGTTCGAGCGGAACGAATCAAAAATGAAATGAAAACTAAGTTTTGATAGTACATGCTCAAAACAACTTTAACAAATCCACAGTGGAACACAAGCACTGTCTTCCAAACAATCATAGCCAAGACAGAAGAAAGCAGTGGGAGTATCATGACTGGTGCAGATAATTATTGAGATCAACACTAACAGGTCGTAGTGTTGGTGTATTAATAATCAGATATAATTGTTTCTCTGAGCTGACTGGTCTCCAAGAGACGAATGTTGCAGCATTCACAAGACTTAGCAGCATCAAACTGAGTCACGTTATTATTTGTTTTTGACGAACACACAAACCATCCAACATGCTGGACATTTAGAAGAGGGACGGACAAGTGAGGCGGTTAGTGCAGCTAATAAATGCATAGTTGTGTGCAGGTGCAACAGTAATATCACTTCACTTAGGTTATGTGGAAGAGGTTTTTGTTTAAGTGTTACAGTGCAAAAACAGAACATATGCAAACACCATAAAAACAATGAACATAAAAACAACCAAGCCAAAAAAAACAAAAGCAAAAACATGAATAGACAGATACTTACAGCTCCGAAGCTTTGTGGCTTCTCATTTTGGGTGTTTCCCTTCCTGTCCTTGCCCATCCCTTTTAGATTATGTTCTTGAATGTAACATAGATGAGTGTGTGTGTGTGTGTGTGTGTGTGTGTGTGTGTGTGTGTGTGCGTGTGTGTGTGTGAGAGACTGGATTCAGGAGGTGTTAAACAGTCTTATCCTTCGTCTCCGTGGGGACAAAGGATCTCCTGAAATGCTCCGTTCTGCAACGCAACAAGGTGAGCTGACTGCCGCAGCTGCTCCTCTGTCCCTCCAGGAGGCTGTGGAGAGCCTCTACAAATTACTCACTGGTCATAATCTTGCAGCTTTGGACTCTTTAAAGCAGAGATAGGAGGAGATATTGGAGAGCAGTTTGGACGAGGCATGGCACAAAGCTACTCAAAAAATGTATTCATCCTCTATTTGTCTGTGACACATTGTGGTTCAGTTTAAGATTGTTCACCGACCCCACTGGTCCAGAGCTTGGTTGGCTAAGATTGGCACTGATATTGATCCTGCATGTGAGAGGTGTCTTCGGCCACTTAATATCTTATGTTCTGGTCATGTCCTAAACTATTTCATTTTGGGGATTTAATAATTTGACTTTTTCAACAATGTTTGGACGGCTGGTTGCCCCATCTGTGTCCATGGCCATATTTGGAGTAACTCCTCTTTTTGCCGGAGTGCTCATCACAATTGGAGGAAATCTGTTGTTTTATCAAGGGATCAACTGCATGCTTCCTTGCCACCTGGCAACCATTTTTAACTTTTGTGGCAAATATGGAAGCTGAAAAATTGTAATGAAACATGCTCCCCTACTGTGTGTGTCGCACAAGTTCATTAGTTTGCTCTTTTTCTTTCTTTTTTGTCTTCTATATTGGATTTCTTTTGACTATATACATCTTATAATATCTATAATATCTTCTCTATATTGAATTACCAATAACAATACCTTGTATAGACTATTTGGGGGTTGATGGGACAGTCAGTGAGTGGAGCCTCGGGGTCTCCTTATGGACAAATGCTCAACCACATCAGTCTGTTCGCAGATGATGGGGAGTTCTGCTGCATGTGTGTAAAAGTCGTATAAAACCTTTTGTGACTCCAGATGGAGCTGCACAAAGCTGATGTCACCACTGGGGCTGAAGAATACAAGTTTTAAAATAAAAAAAATCTGGGGTTGTAGATTCTAAAAGAAGTGAACTTACCTGACCTTCTCGTTTGTTTTTCAGGCTGGTGGCTCAAGGCTACATTATTACAACCCTTCTAATTAAGTTGAGAGGCTGCAAAACATTAGTTAAAACAGAATACTCAGTTGAATACAGTACAAAGACAAGATATTTTATATTCAAACTAATACACTTTTTTAGGTTTCCTGTACATATTACTCATGCTGAATTTGATGTCTGGAACACATTCCAAAAAAAGTTGTTTACTGCTGTGTTACATCAACTTTTCTTCTAACAACACAAGAAGGGAACTGAGGACACTAATTGTTGGAAGTTTTGAAAGTGGAATTTCTCTCTCAAGATTCACAAGCAGGCCCCTCAAAATCTTTGAGATTTAAAGACAGTCTGTGTGGAGGACTGGGCCAGTATCTCTTCTGAACAGTGTGGGACAATAGTTTCTTTGTACAGGAATCATTTGGAAGCTGGCATTGCTAATAAAGGTCTCTCCAAGTATTATGTAAATATCAGTAAGCGTGTTCAATGCTTTGTTCCCGTGCCACTCCACTTTATTGCACCTCATTTTCATGGATTAAAATGTTAAGATTAGAAGATGTTAAACTTAAAAAATGATGCATTTAATACTTATTCCCCTGCATTTTGTTTTTATTTATGTTTTATGCAATGTCCCAACTTTTTAGGCACCTAACACAGTCCAAAAACCAATATTAGATATATATAATGTTACATGTGCATTGCTCAGTCAGTCAAGTGCTCGTTTAAGATGGTCTGGTGTCAAATGGTACACACACCATCTGATGCACACCGTTATCCACAAACCATTTACTATGAATTTAAACAACCGTCAGTGCTAATTTAAAACCTACGCCAGACCCCGTCAGCGTCACACCATTTCTGAGTGAACACGATCTGCACTCAACTTCAAATAACTATCATTAAAGTCAACACAAAGTAATTTGCTGCAATTGTTTGAATTTCACTACACATTAAACTGTGTGTTGGTTTGAAAGGAAAGTTTTCATCTTTAATGTAAACTTGTTAAATGAAGTTTAGCTGAGTGAGCTTGATCTACTACCTTGCTCACTTTTTCATTTAAATATTCTCTCCCCGTGATTTAACTTCCACCATTCTTCCTGCGCCGGAGGAGAAATATGTGAGGAAACTGTTGGTGTGGAAATGTACTACGGCAGCAGCATGCTGTGGGCTTCGCAGTGAAGGCACAGTAGCGCACATTGTGTCCTCCTCCTCCTCTCCAGCCAACTGCTTCACAGAGACTCTCTGAGGCTTCAGCGCTGCCAGGGGCCTAGTTGGTTTTGGACAGACATTACTGTCTGTTTTTTGAGGTTTTCTTCCCGTCGCGGCTCTCTTCTCATGCCAGCAAGCACGTTCAGAGGTGCCATTGTATAATTGCCATTTCATATGTGTGTGTGTGTGTCATTATCATGTAGGTGTGCCTTACTGCGTGCGCTGCTCTCTGCGAAAACATTGTTGCGCTCAGAGTGAGGATCAGCAGCTATTTACAAGCTGAAAGGCTCTTGTGATGTGTTAACACCGCGCGCTGCGACTTTTTCTGACCAGTTTCAGACCCAGAAGTGTGGCCAGCACAAACAATTAAAGGCATGCCCACTGTGATCTTAGCCTTATTCTTTCATTATGGATCAGCAGCAGCAGGGGCCCTAATTAGTCGTGTTGGCTTGCTGAGAAAATGAATGGGCACTGATTCGACCGCAGGGCTGAAACCGGAGCCCCAAGAGTCCTGATGAGCCGGCTTCTTAGAGTCAGTATTGGCAGAGAATGGCTCTTTCTGATTTCCAGTCTATTTATAGGCATTAGCTCTCATCTGTTTGCTCACTTTGCCTATCAGAACCAGCCTCCTGATTGACTCTCCCTGTTGCTTCGGGGCATATAATCTTGTTTTCCCAATTACTCTTAATTTGCTGCGAGCAGGGAAGTGATCAGGATCTTGCAGAGTCCCTTTTTAAACAACCAAATTTGACGGCTGATGACATCCACATTTTGTATTCGCAGACAGGACCCTTCCAAAATAGTCATTGTCAATGCCTTAAAAATCGTAATGTCGGTGTTTTTTATTTTTAAGTTGATTTCTGTGGATGATTTTCCAGTGCAGCTACCCTTAAGTTGCAAACTTTGCTTCCAACATTTCAGATGCTGCTCCCATCCCCTGCTCTCACACTTGTGCACTCTCTTTCTCACCCGCTTGCTCTGATCTGTGTCTCCTGTCTTGTGTGTTGCAGCTGGGTACAGAGTGGACCGCTCCAGGCGAGTTCAGCAAGTTCAGGTCCCAGTCCTCCAAGTCTGTGCAGTAAGTACCTGACCTGACATGCGCACACATTTCATAACGGTGCAGCTTAATTCACTCTCGAGCTTGTACGGAGACCAAAAGAAAGTACTGTGAACATCTTACAGTAAGCTTGACAAATACACACCACCACCGGAGCTTCTCTCAGGACCGGACTTGTGGCTGTTACAGGCAAAGTGTCTCTCTAACTGTTAAGTAGCAGTTTGTACCGATCATACTCTCTGTGTAGAGTCAATTCATGTCGGTCTACAGCCTCTTTTATAACATAATTGCTTCAGAGGGCTTTTATCACTCACACGCAGGAGGAAATTGATGGCTCAAGTGTTCACTGGACACTGGAAAGCAGGTAGTGTAACTCCGCTGTGCGTACATGTGCATATTTTCACGTATGTATGAATTTACATATCTGGAGTGCTCTCATCAGGTGTCAGCGTGTGGAGGATCATAACAGTTGAAAGGCCTCTCTCTCTAAATGTAAGATGAGAATGTATTACCCCATCGGCTCCTCTCAGATTCAGCACATCTCTCTCCATAATTGCTGGGAGCTGCTCGCATAAAAGCACCCTTTAATATGAGCGCTGATCTGCAGTCAGTTTGCTCCTGCAGTCATTGTTAAGTTCATATGATTATGCAACAAGAGAAGAGATCCTAAGAATGGTGCTCCTATTCCTTTGGGTTCCCACATTTGCCTGATTGGATGAAGCTGTAGAGTGCTGGCTTAAATAATTCACACACACACACACACATACACACACACTGCCAATGGTGTTTTGTACTGAAGGTTCAGAATATTTTAGCACTTGAAAATGGTACAAGTTGGATGATGAACGCACACAATAAAGAAAAAGAGAAACTGTGTTTTGTTAATGTTGAATGAGTATTTACAGCAATGCCTCTTTCACAAGCTGAAAGCTGTGGGTGATGGATACAATGCCAGTTTCAGTCTGAAACATTTGTGTCAAGGTTCACTGAAAAGACAAGTACAACTCGCTAAAAAGAGCTTTTCGGGGCTTTTATGTCATTGTGGTTTAAATATTAATAAGGGTTAAAGTATAATATTAATATGCATCACAACATAACAAAGTAATATAAGATCAACCCGGCGGTAGGCATCCAATATCAACTCATTGATACATCCTTCAGCAGAGGTATGAGGCACACTGGGTGCTGGCATTTTTGACACTCTGTACCGTAGTACAAAGAGCAAGAAAGTCTGCAGACCAACCCTGCTGTACAGGAACCAGTGAAAGGAAGCAGGGAAACTTTGCTGATATTCAACCAGCTCTGTGTCATCACATTGTGCGCATATGAACATTGTTTGACTTCCCCCGCAGATCCCTGCCCATCTGATGGCGGAGGTCCAGGTGCTGGCAGCAGCACAGGAGCGAAGCCAAACACAGTTCATCAGCACACACTGTGATGCCACACAGCTGGTTCAATATCAGCAAAGTTTCCCTTTATATTCATTGTCTTCTGTGGCGATCAGCAGTGATGTGATGGTTCACTTTTACACTGTGATTTGTAGCCTATAGTTCGGCTTTAGCTTCTAACTATCTGTGTCTTTTTAACCTGTTGTTGCTGCTGAGTCAGTCTGACATCCTGGATATATCCTTCAAACACAGACTGTAGACCCCTCTGTCTGCTTCTCTCTGGAATCACTGTTTCATTTTTCCAAAAATATGATAATATTTCTTCAGGGAGTGCAGTTAGTTACAGTGAGGGCTCCATGCTTACTCTGACAGCTTGTCGGACCATCACAAAGGAGCGAGGCTTAGGGAAAGGTCATTTGAATTGTAACTTTTCCAGAATAATTCACTTGTAGAACAATGACATAATGTGATCATATCATCATAATACAGTTCTGCTGAAAGTCGATGAATGACACTATTGAGCCCAACTCAACCAGAAAGCCATCAAGTGGGACTAGAGGGCACAGACGAAATATACATGTAAATGCCAGTGTATCATAGACATAGTGAGAAGGTTTACCAGTTTAATTGCTCGTGACTCAGGTTGCAGCGCAGCGGTGACAGCAACAATAACATTAGTGACAGTATTAATGGATGTGTGGAGCAGGCATGTAAATGGACCTGGTGACAGTGAGTGCATGTGTGCAGCTGGCGCTCTGGAAAATCAGCTGATAATTTGAGTGGTGCTAATGACTTTGTGATCCTGGCTGAACTCATGAGTAATATATATGTGCTAAATTTGTGGATTAGTAGGGCGATTTAAGTACCAACTTTGAAACTCTAGTTGATATCTAGTACATTTTGATGACATGTAACACACACAGGCAGTCACACAGATGAAAGGTCCTAATCCTTCACATCCCACAGACCATTTGTCTAATGTGGGCTACTTTTTTTGCAGAAGCTTTGCCTTTTAAACTGAATAGATGCTTACAACTGCACTGAATCCTGCATAATAAAAAATACTGAATGAAATCCTAACATTGGAACATGTTTCTTGTGAAGATCTCATGTCACGTGCAAGACAGTCATGCATGCAGTCATGTTAGGTCAATGTAGCAAGAAAGGCCGCAAGTCCACACTATGAGAAACAAATAAAATGGAAGACAGTTAATGAATGTGTCTCATGGCATACTTATATATTCTTTGTTTTGATCACCGTATTAATTTGACGTTGCTGTTAATTCAGTCTGACTCACCGCTTCACTCCGATGTCTCATCATGTGTCAAGGTCTCATCATAACAGTTTATGTATCATTCTGAGAGGGATTATCAAGATGCATAAAACCTCAAGAATATCATCAATGCTCTTTAAAAACCATGCAGATATTAAACATTCTGCGTCCCTTCTGAAGGTTGCACAAGCACAACACTTAATATAATGAATGAAAATCCATTAATGCCATAAGGGACTGAATGCAGGCCAGGACCTGTTGGCGAGTATTTGTGTTTGTCTGTGCGTAGGATTAACTGGGCCTGGTTAGCACAGAAGGCACACCAGACTACAAGGGAGCACAGAGAGATGACAAAAGATTAAGCAGAAGAGAGGAGGAAGAGGAAGCAGCTAAAAGTTTTTCTATTTTCTCCTCCTGTCTGACAGGCGTCTGGCGTTCTCCGACAATAACAAGGCAACAACAGAGTAACCAAGCGTGGAGGCAGAATGTGGCAGGAACATTAGAAAGGTCTTTCAGCCGAGAAATTTGTGGTGGAAAGTAACTAAGTACATTTACTCAAGTACTGTACTCAAGAAGAATTTTGAGGCACTTGTACTTGAGTATACCCATTTTATGCTACCATATACAAATGCTCCACCACACTTCAAAGGCAAATATTGTACTTTTTACCAATCCCTGGAGGGAAATTCACATCCTACCTGCCAGTGTATAAAGTAATTAAATTAGCCCCACTTTGTCCAGCTGCAGCATTAAAGGTTCTATAAACCAGTGGTTCCCAACTGGTCCAGCCACTGCGTCCAGATTTCTCTGTAGTCATTAGTTCCAGGTCCACACAGTTTAATAAATTTGGCCTAATACCTGCATTTGGCCATGACGTTGAGCTAGTTTGCTATATCTGTCCAGTGGCTGTCCGTTAATCACTCACTCTGCAGCAGGAAACGGCACTTCAAAATAAAAGGTCTGCGCCGAAGATTAACTGTAATTAAAAACAAAGTGTGTTTTTTAACAAATTTGTGAGTCACTTGTGGTCCATTGAGAATGGACCCACAACCCACTTTTGGATTGCAATCCACCAGTTGGGAACCACTGCTTTAAATGACATTCAGAACATTAATGTAGCAGCGAACAAGTATTGCTATGTAAAGATATAGTGGCATAATGGCATCCTGAGCAGAAAATAAAGTCATGCTACCTCTGAATGTGTCGTAACCTAAGCTTTATTATCGTGTGTAGTGGCAGAAGGTCCGACAGCACGTACATGTGTGTATCAAACTAGCTAGCTAACTGCCACCACTCTGCACTGCGCTCATGCAGTAGTTACCACTATTATTGGGATGGCATTGTCACTGAAGCATAGCACCCACCCTCCGGTTCTCCCCAGGTTAACACGGGTCCATGTCATTGGTTCGACAGCCCATTGGTTCGACATCCCATTAGTCTGACTGTCCACGGTGCTGAACGGCTCGCGGCGGGTGTATGGTGCGCCGCGACCGGCTTGAGGCGGAGCAGGCTCACGGCTTATGTGTTTGTCACTTTCTTTTTCATTTTAACCCACACCATGATCTTTTCTTGACCCAATCCAAGTGGTTTTTGTGCCTAAACCTAACCAGACCTTAGCCACAGGGCGTCATGATGATTTCGGAAGGGACTTCGGAACAATGAGTTTAATATGGTCGGAACAATGGGATGTCGAACCAATGGGCAGTTCCCGTTAACACCATTAGCTCTGTTAGCACCCTTCACACTTATAGCACAGTTAAGCCACCTCTATGTTGAGAGCCGTGTGGGGACAAATTGAATCTCCTGCCTTTGTATTTTTGAGGTTGCAAAGTGAGCAACCTTCTTAAGGGTGGGGGTAATGAGTCCTGGGCCATCTTCTCTGCCTGTGTTTTTCAATTGGGCTGCAGGTCACCTAGGGGTGCAGCCCTGCCTACCAGTACTGATTGCTGATGCCTGGCATCTGGACTGATTACCTAGGTTTAAAAGCCCGTCAGAGAGGGACTCAAAAAGACCCAGCAGTGGTCTCTCTGACCCAGCTGGCAGGCTCTGCAGGGGCACAGTCTCCTCTTTCTTCTCCAGCTTTTTTTTGTTCATTTCATAAACTCAAAGTTTGATTAATTCAATGCAGTTTCTTTCTCTATTCCCTTTTGGTACTTTAAACAGATTTTTACACTGCGATATCGCTACTTTTACTTAAGCAAAAGATCTGAGTAATTCTTCCACCGGAGGAAGTTTAGGTGGGACATTGTAGGCTTTGTGACCTGTTACTGTGTCTTTGTGTGTGTGTTTATTTTGTGTGTGTCCCTATAAAAACTACAGGATTGTTCTCTACAGTTTGGGTATGCTGTCAGTAATAAAA